ATTGCGAATCACCTGATTATTCATGAATTATGATTATGATAAATTATACTCTAATTTAATGTTGTTGTTTACACCTGATCTGATTTTGCACTGATTTTACTCAAATTTGTATCCAATTCTCATCTGATTTAATTCTGATTAATCTGACACTGACACATCATCTGACAATGATCTGATATGAGTGATCTAACTGAATCATGATCAGATGCAATATTATCACCTTAAACTGGACAGATGACAGTTTAAACAGACCTTTCTGATCTTATTAGACTCTCATCTAATCATAACCTGATTTTGCCTCTGGTGTAATATGCATATACAATCAATACAGTCAAATGTTTAGAGTAATTAAAGGGGTCATATGATGTTGCTAAAAAGAACATTATTTTGTGTATTTGGTGTAATGAAATGTGTTTATGCGGTTTAAAGTAAAAAAAACCACATTATTTTCCACATACTGTACATTATTGTTTCTCCTCTATGCCCCGCCTTTCTGAAACACGTCGATTTTTACAAAGCTCATCGGTCTGAAAAGCAAGGTGTGCTGTGATTGGCCAGCAATCCAGTGCGTTGTGATTGGCCGAATACCTCAAGCGTGTGACGGAAATGTTACTCCCCTTACCATACTGTCAGGCCGTGTTGTTGTCAGGCCGGATTATAATGACTTATACTGTCTTTTTACGTACGCGTTGCGTTGCATAGCGCCGCGTAAACATAAAACCATGTCAGCAAAAACGTACTTACAGTCTGTGATTCAGAACAGCCGGCATTGTAGTCTACTCTACCAGGATCAGGAAACAGTCCTCCATAAAATGCGTTGCACACAAATTAATATTTGGGTTGAACTGTTCTGGAACAGTGTTGTAAATACAACTTAACCACTGATTTCTAGTCGTGTCCTCTTTTGGAAGGCCAAACAAAGTAGTTTCGCTTTCACAACGAAACACACGGGGGGCTAGAGTGAGCGGCGACGGGCTTGCGGCAACCACATGTGACGACCCTCCAAAGAGAAAGGAAAAATTGAAATCGCATCATATGACCCATTTAAGATTTTTTAATGTTTTTGAAAGTCTCAACAAGGCTGCATTTATTTGATCAAAAATGCAGTAAAAATATGGCATATTAGAATGATTTCTGAAGGATCATGTGACAATGAAGACTGAAGTAGTGAATAACTGTTAAAATTCAGCTTTGTCATCACAGGAATCCATATTTTTGCCTCTTTTATCATCCACCAAAAAAAAAAAACTGTAAGTCTCATTGTTAAGAAAAATAACAGCACATCGTTCATCAACAAGACACAGGATTTGAGGCATCATGCAATATGCAATAGTAATATTGGCAACAATACAAGTTATACAGTCCAGAATGTATGTGTGTGCAGAATATGCTGGCATATGCATCGCAGGAGCGGACAGAGAGTGAGAGGAGTGGTGTGATTGGACAGGGGGAGGGGTAGAGAGCCAGAGACTGGCTTGCTGACGTTCAGGCTGCCTACGCAAGTGGCTTCATTCAAGAAATCCATGAATATTAAATCAACCCCAGCCGCCACACTGCGCCGCACGGCAGCCGTTTTTCACGCCAGCTCACTGCCCTCCTGCTCCCGCTGACCCTTACTTAATAATAGCGAACGACTAATGGGACCTCAGAGGAAACGGCCATGCAGAAGAGCAAAAAAATGAGAAAGCTTGCTTGAAAAAACAGGGATGCTGGATTCAGAGGTGATAAGCTCCGCCTCGTCTTTTCCTCCTCTCTCGTCACATCACTCCATCCTCACACCGCAGCCGCACTGAATGAATGAAGCCGAGCCCAACGCTTTCGCGTAGTCCCTCATGGCCACCAGGTTTGTCTGTGTGTGATTTTTGCATGAAAATCATAAAGAGAAGTCATTGTTTTTGCATTTGCATGATGGGCAGTCACACTTGACATGTCCATTAGCGACAATTTCCAGTATCTTAGTTCTCACAGATGCTTTTGCCACCTTGCAATATTTAATAGAGTATTTTACCAGCAAATAAAGCCATTTTTCATCCCATCCAAGTCGTTCTTTTTATTAATTACTCTATTAAATATTGCAAAGTGGCAAAAGCATCCGTGAGCTGGATGTTTTTATAAGAGTATCTGATATGCGCCATTTAATCAGGGCAATGCATCGCATTTGCTGCATGTAGCGAGCGTTTTTTGCATCACATAGGAGTGTTTTCACCCCTTCAACGAGTGTGAGAAAGATGTTTATCAATGCTTTTTGCATTCTGTGATGTGGGCTAGCCGCTAGCGTGAGAGAGCTGGATCCTCTGACTGGTGGTTTGACCATGTGTTGTTTTTTTGTGTGAAAACTGCATTCACACATACAGATGTGAATATGCCTCTGTAGTCTGTCATTAGGCCCCTCATGAGTGCCGATATGACAGGTGAGAGGTAAGGAGAGCCATACAGCCGCCCACAACACCAGCTTTTTTCTATAGAGTGTTTGATAAAGACCTTTTATCACTTTATCGGCGTGAAGAGAATCTCTTTGGCACGTGTGTGCTTCCAGCTCTAGCTAACATCAGATGCTGGACATGATGGACGAGGCTTTTGTAAAAGACATGTTTTGAATGATTCACTAGCTTTTTTTTAATTCACACACTTTATTTAAGTATCATCGAGATACTATTATAGTTTTTTAATTAATATTTGGAATTAAAAACTTAAAACCTTTTTTATAATTACGTTTATTGAATTGTAATTATAGCACAAATATAACAAGGAACCGTCAAAAAAAGGTACACACATAGCTCAGATTTGTAAGACAGGAATAGTTAATACATAACAATAAAATTATAAAAAAAGATGTAGATGAGCACAAAGAAAATTCAATGTAAAAAGAATTATAAAATTATGATATTCCTATAGTAATTATGTGGTGTGTTTTCATTATGTTATGTGTATTAATTTTTAGTTTAAATACTTTTATTTTAGTTAAACTAAATGAAAATGAGAAATGTGGCCTTGTCTACTAGCTGAAATATGTGTTTGTATATTCTATATTATTATAGTTAATGTTTCTTTTATTTCAGGAAATGAATTTTTTATGGTTTTAGTTAACTATAGTAATCCTGGTGAGTAGCATATAGACCTATAATGTATATTTTTTAATTGATCAGTAATTTATCAGTCGATATTGAGTATTTAATTGTGCATGCTTGTTTAGCATGTTTTTACATTTTACATGTTTAGCTTTTATCTAAATATCACAGTTTTCAGGCTGTGCATTATAAAGTTGTGATGCTTATTTTCACCTATGGCACTTAAAAGGATTTATTAGTATTTAGACTACTTGTTTAGATTTTTATTATGGAATTTAAAATCAGCAGCTTAGCAGCTCATTTGCCAGAGCTGTGCTTCCCATCCTCACTTTGTAAATTGAATGCAGTGATGTAAAAGAAAACATTTAAGCAGCTGATCTAACAGATTCTTGACAGCATGACAGATGTAGATCTATGCAACGGTAATTTGATGCCACTGTTTCTGTGAAGGTTTCATCTGCAGTGATTTATTCGCCGTCAGAACCTTCTAACTTGTGGACTTGTGTTCTGGGAGGGAATGGCTCCTTGAGTGCTTGAGTGTTGCTGCATGGGCAAAATCACAAGTGCATTAGGCTGATATCATGAACCCAGAGAGATTGTGAGGTGTTTTATGAGTTGCTGTATTTTATCTGCTCGCTCGCTCGCTCTCTCTTTATCTCTCTTTTGTCACACTGTGTTTGTTTTTCCAGACGGGCAGCTCTTAGCTCAGGTACAGAACATTAATAATTAAGATAGAGCTTGGTGCCCTTTCTGAGGGACAGATGAAGGGCTGACAGCAGGAAGATGGAGGATTGCTGCATAGAGAGATTGAGACGGAGATAGATGGAGTGGTTCCCCTTTTGATTGAAAAAAGCTTTTCATTTTCTGTATTATCTACATCATCTTGACCTTCGTAAGCAAATAGTCTGATTAAGAGATTCTGTGTGTTTGAGGTCAGCTAGTGAGTGTCATTCTGATGGTTTTTCCAAGAAGGTGACTTTAGAGGTTGCTTTTCATTAGCCTAGAAGAATTAATGGAGTTCTCAGTGATGCTTTATTTTATATTGCATGAGATGTTTCTCCGAAAAGCCCTTTGAAGAAATAAAAGAGGCAATAACAAAATTAACATGCGCAGTATGACTCAGTTCATTTGGTACTGGGAAATTTAGAGATCTATTTGAGTTCATACTGAGATTTTTGATTGCTGATAGAATTGATTGAAAACTATAAGCATGTGTTGTGAACTTTTTGGATATTATGGTCTCAGGAGAAAAACATGAGAAGCAGGAGACTAAAGTAAAGATCTCTTTATTGCTCTGTTTAATTTAGTTCTTTCTTTCCTTCTTTCCTTCCTTCTTCCTTTTTTCTCAGTTGTGTGCTTCAGGAAGATTATCAGATGCTTAGTTCCTGTATTTTGACCAATCTTGTTTTTCTGATCTAAAAAAAACACCTTATGAATTTGCATTCATAATTTCTTCTACAGATAATGTGATATTATCCGTGATGTGGAAGTTCCCAGCAGAACTGCGGCATTTTTCGATGTGACCCCCGCTACTGTGTTTTTGGACAGAGTTGTGAGACGTCAGTCTGAATACATTCCTAAGCTGACAGGGCAGAGGTGAAAGGCCAATGAGTGGCCTCCTGGGAAAATGTGTGTGTGCACATGTTTGTTTAGGTGGTTGACTTCTGTTGTTTTTAAACTGAGCCAGTGGTTTTTTATTTACCTGAACCTAACTTTTCAGAAACCTTTTGCATTTTCACATTTTCATAAAGACATTCAGTTTATTAAGCGTTTTGCTGGTTTAAAGAAAACTTCCTCTGACACATGAGCACTGCGGATCAGTGTGTCTGGAACTCGTGTGCTTAAAGTGTCCGGCCATCATCCAACATACATTTGTATTCCTTTGGACGTACAGAATCTGTTTTTTACTGGATATTTTTTTTGTTTCTGTAGCACTGCCAGTAACTCGAACCGCAGCTCGTCTACAGATAATGTGATATTATCCGTGATGTGGAAGTTCCCAGCAGAACTGCGGCATTTTTCGATGTGACCCCCGCTACTGTGTTTTTGGTCAGAGTTGTGAGACGTCAGTCTGAATACATTCCTAAGCTGACAGGGCAGAGGTGAAAGGCCAATGAGTGGCCTCCTGGGAAAATGTGTGTGTGCACATGTTTGTTTAGGTGGTTGACTTCTGTTGTTTTTAAACTGAGCCAGTGGTTTTTTATTTACCTGAACCTAACTTTTCAGAAACCTTTTGCATTTTCACATTTTCATAAAGACATTCAGTTTATTAAGCGTTTTGTCTCATTATATATATATATATATATATATATATACGGTATATGTTAGCAGTTCTCAAACACTGGAAAATTGCAAAAAATTAAAAACATAAAATGTATGTTTAATTTTAAATTGATTTATTTAGATTAATTTTTTATGTTTAAAGTTTTTATTTTTAAATAAAGATTTGTGCATTTAAGAGTACTTGTGTTTCAGAATAAATAAAGTTATGTCATAAAATCACGAGTCTGTTTTGAGTTAAAGGTCAGAATCTAGCTTACATGAATAAAAATCACAAACATGAGGCTTGTAAATTACATAATTTTATGTATATAGATTTATTAATTAATGTGTGTTTTTTCTTTTCAGATGTATAATTATGAAAACTTAAATACAAGAAAGTCTAAAAGATTTTAGACCATCTACAAATGTTAAATCTACAATTAAAATGTTAAGGTTGCTGCATATGTCTGAGAAAAAGAAAAAGCAGTGCTTCATTTTTTTTTTTTTTAGCTATTTTCAAAGCATTCAATGTACTCTCATTATAAAAAGAACTTTAATACTGTTTATTTAGTTCTAACAAGTAAGTTTTTGCTCAAAATTAACAAAAACAATTTATTCATAATCTCTGCACAGGAGAGACTTGGTGTTGTTTCCAAACAAAAGAAAATGTTTCGGCATCAGCTGTCTGCCAAAATGAGTTTAAAATTATCGGCACATCAGATATCCAATATCATGCATCCCTAATATATTTTTGAACTTAATATTTTGCTTCGAAAGATGTAGACAACGAGGCAGCAAAGTAAATTTTGAAACTTGCTTTCATTTTCATATCATTGCATTTGTTAAGGATTTCATTTGCAAGGTAAAAGGTTGAGTTCTCCTCTTCAAGAAGAACAATATATTTTATTAAAAAAAAGTATGTTTCACAAAATGAAATCATTTGAGAAATACTTTATGCCTGTCAAAAAAGTGAGGCACAATTCCTTCTGGTCTGGAGTCAGTAATCGTTGCATAATCATTTCATATTCATCAGCACCTCATGTGCAGGAGTTAATCACAGAACATCTCTTTGCTATGTGGAGAAGCTTTGCAACCCAACAGTGTTTTTTCATTTCTCTGCACTTATTCATACAGTTTTGTTTTTGTTTGTTTTCTGATATCTTCCTCTCATGCATGCTAGTCACACAAGAGACTGTCTAAAGTAAGCATCACTCTTTTCTGCTCTACTGTACCTCCACCCTGCCTGTGAGCCATCCCATTAGGCTCTGCTTCACCTGTCTGTGCTAAGTTAACCTAGTACATGCTAAGCAAACCCTGTGCGAAACTAGCTAGCAATGCCAAGTTGAATGTTACGAATTGTCTGATAAACTGTGAAAAAAATGTAATCTTGACAACAATCTGTACCGATGCAGCATCACACCAAAGCAGTTTTCAGTTACCGATCCCATATAGAGACACTAACTCGTGTCGCAGAGGCAGAAAAACATATACAGGTGCATCTCAATAAATTAGAATATCATGGAAAACCCTCCTTGTGGAGGGTGTCAATGATTGTCTTCTGGACAGCTGTCAGATCAGCAGTCTTCCCCATTATTGTGTAGCCTAGTGAACCAAACTGAGAGACTATTTTGAAGGCTCAGGAAACCTTTGTAGGTGTTTTGAGTTGATTATCTGATTGGCATGTCACCATATTCTAATTTGTTGAGATAGTGAATTGGTGGGTTTTTGTTAAATGTGAGCCAAAATCATCACAATTAAAAGAACCAAAGACTTAAACTACTTCAGTCTGTGTGCATTGAATTTATTTAATACACGAGTTTCACAATTTGAGTTGAATTACTGAAATAAATGAACTTTTCCACGACATTCTAATTTATTGAGATGCACCTGTATATTAGTAAAACATCTCCCACCTGACCTCTTACTCTTGATGAACTTTCTCTCCAGTATGACAGATTAAACCTGATTGAAGTAAGAAATCAATATTTGTGCCCTTGAGTCCTGCCCCGTCCTGTGAGTAGAGAACTGTAGAGTCTCTTCTATCTCCATTCTGCTGTTGTTTGGAGTCAGAGAAAGAGTTTTTGCAGAGATTTCTCTTAGGTTTTTATATTTGTGTATATGTATCATAAAACTGTATCATAATCGCTGCTAAGACTCGTTTGAAGTAGTTGTGGTTTTGTAGATCAGTCCTCAATAAAATGTTTAATAAGTTTTGCAACATTTGAAAGAAAAGCTTTGATTTAGTGTTAACACTGCCCCCTTGTGGTAGCTTTGTGTATGAGAAATGTGATACAAGCGCCATACACAAACAGAGCTTTCCCATAATCCCTTGTTTTATGGTATACTCAAATGAATTGCATGTATACCTGTGTGGATCAAACATTTTTGATAGATAGATAGATAGATAGATAGATAGATAGATAGATAGATGTGGTGTGTGTATAATATGTATATGTCTATTATAAATGTTTGTATATTCCGAGCACTTCATGCTTCCTTCTGCTGACCAGTTTTTTGAAGATGCTGATTTCATTTTCTAGCAGGATTTGGCACCTGCCCACACTGCCAAAAGCACCAAAAGTTGGTTAAATGACCATGGTGTTGGTGTGCTTGACTGGCCAGCAAACTCACCAGACCTGAACCCCATGGAGAATCTATGGGGTATTGTCAAGAGGAAAATGAGAAACAAGAGACCAAAAAATGCAGATGAGCTGAAGGCCACTGTCAAAGAAACGTGGGCTTCCATACCACCTCAGCAGTGCCAGAAACTGATCACCTCCATGCCACGCCGAATTTAAAGCAAAAGGAGCCCCTACCAAGTATTGAGTGCATGTACAGTAAATGAACATACTTTCCAGAGGGCCAACAATTCACTAAAAATGTTTTTTTTTTATTGGTCTTATGAAGTATTCTAATTTGTTGAGATAGTTAATTGGTGGGTTTTTGTTAAATGTGAGCCAAAATCATCACAATTAAAAGAACCAAAGACTTAAACTACTTCAGTCTGTGTGCATTGAATTTATTTAATACACGAGTTTCACAATTTGAGTTGAATTACTGAAATAAATGAACTTTTCCACGACATTCTAATTTATTGAGATGCACCTGTATATTAGTAAAACATCTCCCACCTGACCTCTTACTCTTGATGAACTTTCTCTCCAGTATGACAGATTAAACCTGATTGAAGTAAGAAATCAATATTTGTGCCCTTGAGTCCTGCCCCGTCCTGTGAGTAGAGAACTGTAGAGTCTCTTCTATCTCCATTCTGCTGTTGTTTGGAGTCAGAGAAAGAGTTTTTGCAGAGATTTCTCTTAGGTTTTTATATTTGTGTATATGTATCATAAAACTGTATCATAATCGCTGCTAAGACTCGTTTGAAGTAGTTGTGGTTTTGTAGATCAGTCCTCAATAAAATGTTTAATAAGTTTTGCAACATTTGAAAGAAAAGCTTTGATTTAGTGTTAACACTGCCCCCTTGTGGTAGCTTTGTGTATGAGAAATGTGATACAAGCGCCATACACAAACAGAGCTTTCCCATAATCCCTTGTTTTATGGTATACTCAAATGAATTGCATGTATACCTGTGCGGATCAAACATTTTTGATAGACAGATAGATAGATAGATAGATAGATAGATAGATAGATAGATGTGGTGTGTGTATAATATGTATATGTCTATTATAAATGTTTGTATATTCCCTTAAAAACTCACTCTAATGTTTCTCTGTTCCTCTCTCGTTTCTTTCAACATCAACATCTGATTCTTCAAACTCACAGAAGAGTCAAAGCTGGTATAACGTAAGTCTGTTTTTTATTCTTCATTATGTTTTGCTCATATGAGTGATTTTTGATACTGAATGTTGTGTGTTTGTATGATATTGGGGTCATTCTTTAGGAAATGGATGCTGTTTTTCTTTATTTAAATACTGTTTTGTTGCTCGTCCACAAGGCTTTCTCAGTTGTAGGATGATGAGAATCATGTGAATCTGGGAGCTTGTCGCCTCCCAGTGTTGTTTGAGTTAAACTGCTTTCACAGACATTTCATGTTGGAAATGATGATTACCTCTTTCTTCTGTAAGGCTGGATGTTTGACCTGACATTTCCCAGCATTTGTTTTCCTGTGGGAAAGAGTTGATTTTTTTTCTTTGGGTCAGCCAGCTCTTAATGATATTTTTCATCATTTTACAAGTGCCTTTGTGATGTTTTGTCAATGTGTTATGGTCGGTCATAACCTCTGGGCCATCTCGATGAAAGTGCACTGCAGAACGGCAGAACAAAGACTGCAGTGTTCTTTCTCTCAAATAAACAGTGTTTCTGTTTCTGTCATGGATCGGGCTATATATGCATAGTATAGCTCAGATAATGTGGTTCTGGAGGAATTTGATGAAAAACATTTCAGTTCATATGAGACTTTGAGGTCTCTCCTGAAACTGATTTAGATTACTGAAAAATCTGAGAAGCAGGAAACTTAAGAGAAGTTCTTATATGTGACCCTGGACCACAAAACCAGTCTTAAGTAGCAGGGGTATATTTGTAGCAATAGCCAAAAATACATTCTTGACAGGTGATTTTAATTTTTTTTTTTTGCAATGGACAAATCCTTTTTTATATTATATTATATTATATTATTGTTTTATTTAATGTATTTTCATTGCCTGAATTCCACTGATAAAATAAAATGAAAACATACATTTTCAATTTGAAGCAAATGATCTGCACTTGACTCAAAACTGTAAGGCGGTTCCAAGGGCAGTCTGAATGGGCATGAAGCTTCTGCATGTCTCCATAAACAGAAGAAAACAGGATGCGTGGACACCAGCATCTGTGTGTAGATAACTGTGCCTGTTTATAAAGATCAGCAGGAAACAAAGATGCTGGGACTCTCTCCAAGTGTGAGCTTATCAGAAAATATTAAACTTTGCTCATTTTTGTTTTTCCTGGGTGGACAGACAACCACAAGCTGTAAGATGTCAGCTGTAAACACTCTTCAGATGTCCATTCCAGTAGGGCGTAAGTGAAGAAAATGCATTTTCACCACAGGACTGTAAATAATCACATCCCGTGTGGTCACGAGGAGGGTCAAGTCATTTTTATTTGTATAGTGCATTTTACAATCAATTACATTTAAAAGCAGCTTTACAGAAAATGCATTAGTCCTTAAAACCCTGAGTTAACAAGCAAAGAGCAACTGTGGCAGGGGGAAAAAAAACCCACGTTAAGTCTGCAGAAGGAAGACCTTGAGAATAACCTCAGCAGGAAACAAAGATGCTGGGACTCTCTCCAAGTGTGAGCTTATCAGAAAATATTAAACTTTGCTCATTTTTGTTTTTCCTGGGTGGACAGACAACCACAAGCTGTAAGATGTCAGCTGTAAACACTCTTCAGATGTCCATTCCAGTAGGGCGTAAGTGAAGAAAATGCATTTTCACCACAGGACTGTAAATAATCACATCCCGTGTGGTCACGAGGAGGGTCAAGTCATTTTTATTTGTATAGTGCATTTTACAATCAATTACATTTAAAAGCAGCTTTACAGAAAATGCATTAGTCCTTAAAACCCTGAGTCAACAAGCAAAGAGCAACTGTGGCAGGGGGGAAAAAAACCACGTTAAGCCAGCAGAAGGAAGACCTTGAGAATAACCAGACTCATCTCCAACGAAATTCCATTACTTTGCTCATATTTGACACTGGGCATCAAGTGACAAGCCGACATAGTACCAAAATTGTTTAAATAAGGGACTTTCTTAGAGCTTCCAAAACAAATGCTATGAGATGGTTCTACCGAGTGTCTTGCTCCTGAGCTGAACAATGAGTCTGCCTCAGTAGTGGCCTCAGATGTTTTGCTTGAGAGGGGATTGGCGGAGAGGCCAGAAACAGAGATGATTCACCCATTTGGCATCCCCTCAACGTCCCCCTTCCTCCAGCGCAGGAAGTTAACTAGAGTTCGTTCACCCCGTGAGAGTGCGAGCATGGAGAGAAGGAAGACTGAGGCGTTGTCCTTGGCCGTGCCTCAACACTAACACCATAAAATGACTTGTGCACAATGGGGGCCTCTGTGATTCTCTCTCAACCATTCTTTATCTCTCCATCCTATATTTTTCTCCAACTCCCACTGTTTTGATCTCTTACTCCCACCTCATGAAACAAAAAACCCCTCTGCTTTTCATGGGTTTTGCAATGAAATGAAAACATTTGTGGAAGCTGAAGTGTCTTGTTCAGACATTAAGCCCCTCAGGGTCTTCAGGAAACTGACAACAGCAGCTATCGCTGCAGTATAAATGGTGTTTTTGCAACATTTCTGGAGAGACATGAAATCTAGGTTGACCTGGGATTGGGAGGGGTGTAATGACAGTCCTAGGAGAAGCATATAAATCTCACAGCTCTTCGATCATGAGTGAGAAAAATGTACAGCCTGAAGCAATGAGCTTACTACATCTGACACGGCCCCTGCTCTCTCCTCTCTTTGGCATTCTATTGGCCAGCAGGCTTTCTTAGCTCCTCCCCCTCCCTGTTTCTCAGACACAAACATTCCCTCAGGCCACTCCCACTCCTCTTGGCAGAATTGTTTTGTAGAAAGTCTCAGTAGAACTCTTTCCTGCCATAGTAAAGGGTTGCTTCAGCTCAACTTGGTTATTCTGTGAAATTTATTGAGACAAAATTCACATCCTCTGGGAAGAAATTTACTCAAAAGCGACTGATGAATGCATCTTGGCTTGCAAGGATATTAATGTGTGTCATTTTGACTATGCATGCTGAAGAACGAATTTTGAAAGAAAAAATACAGTATTTTTGTCTGAAGAGAAGAGAGTTTTTTTTCCCAACAGGTGGTTGTTTTTTGGGGGTTCCTCAAGCAACTTTTCTGTTTTTGGATTTGTGTAAATAGATGTTTGCCTCTGGATATTTCTAGGACAACAGTCTCACAGTTTTGTTTTTCTTGCCAGAATTTATTTTTTCTCGCCAAACATGCAAATGTTCCTATTAGATAACCATATTTGAAAACCTTTATGAACCATTTGGATCCGAAACATTGTAAAGTGGCAATGTTCCTGTTGTTGGCTGGATCTGAAACTGCTTCTTGTATTTTGTAAATTTAGTGGATCAGCAGGAGTAAACTCTAAAACAAGAAGAGAGCAGCTGCAAGGAACATTTCCATTTCGAGAGCATCAGGTGATCAATTCCAAGGAACGAACATTGCTACATGTTACCACTAACTGTCCTCTGTGTCTTGTTAAAAATTTGACTCATTTCCTGAGGAAAACATACTCCATTTTCATTGTCAAGAGCGATGTGTGTCTCTCAATGTGAGGAGTTCTCCTGCTGTCTGTAGAGGATTGTTTGGCTGGCGTTGAGGTGCTGAGACTCACTTAAACAACAGAATAAGTAATGCTAATAAGTTGCTGAGGTTACTCCAGGTCATTTCAGAGTGTGGCCTGGTGAAGCTGGACTGGAGGTCAGCACATATGCTGTGAAGCTTTGCACCACTGTCAGGAGCTGAGACAATAAGTGGCAAAGTCTCCACAACTGGACAAGAGCGATGGAAATCCTCAGTTTTGAGGCGGAGACTGATTGGCTCTACGACTGGGAGGCAGTCCAACAGCCCGAAGTGCCCCCGTGTGATTGGACGGACTGGGACTTAGATTTCGAGAGCGTTCCTGCTGTAAGCAACTAATCAGAGAGCAGAAGAGAAGAGAAGCGTCCTTTTGCTTGGCTTTGGTTATGTTAGATCATGAACATCTCACAAACTGTTACAGACAGGACTGCAGAGGGACTGATGTACTGATCAGTACCTTGGTGTAGATGATGAAGCCCAGTAAAAATATATTTATTCATATTTTTTGGGGTGGTTGTTCTGTGAACCAGGCTGTCGGTTTTACAAACACAACAAAACGCAAGTAAAAAAAAAAAAAA